TCGGTCATACTCCAACATGTTAACCTCCTTGTTGTTGCTTAGGTTACATTCATCAACTAATTGATATGAATTGATCAAAATGTGGACCAAAACATATCTCACATGAAAGTACAAGTTCACTTGAATGAGAAACATGTGAATAAGCATTAAGATAGCCTGGTTTTGTTGCTGCTGGAGTTCTTTCATCATATCAATATCTTTCATTTGAAGTGACCTTCTCCACCAGAACTTCGTTGGTGTCGGGCGCCATATCACGGAATGATCCCACCTGTGAAGAGAAACAAGTTCATTTTTGCTACCAACTTAAAGTCCATTATAGAAGTGGAATATCAAGCTGCTAGGGTCCATCAGTGTGAGTGGACATTTGTTTCTCATATCTTTAAAACGATCCCACGCTTAATTCAACGACTTCATCGGGAATTGCCAAAAGTTCTGGATTGCTGTTTAATTTTAGCAACCGCAGACGGAGGAAAGTATTCTTGCATAAATGCTTGGTGTAGTGTTTCCCATCTTGTGAAATGACCCGCTGGAAAGCTATCTAGCCATAAAGATGCCTTATCTCGTAGTGAGAAAGGAAATAAGGTCAACTTCACGGCGTCATGGGTCACTTCGTTAAAGCGGAATGTTTGGCGTGTTCGGGTGAACCACAACATGTGGGCCATAGGATCATCTTGCTTGGACCCGCCAAATTGATGATTGGACATCATGTTGATAATGTCGGGTTTGATCTCAAAGTTGGCTGCCTCGATTGTCGGTGCGCTGATGCTATCATCCTCGATGAAACTTGGCGTGAGATTTTGTAACACCGTCTTTTGATACACCGTGCTTAGTTTCTTGTGGATTGAAAGATTTTTCTACAAAGTTTGATCACGTTCAGGATCAAGTTCAATTAGTCCTTGCACTCCTTAGAGCGAGTGTGCATTCATTTAGCCTGAAATCATTATACAAATTGTCGCAAAGGTGATAAAGTCTCCCTAACTATAATTCACCTATGCTAGAACTAAATCAAGAAATTACCGTGCCATTCCCCAGCAACGACACCATTTGATAACCAGAGGCTGCCCAAACATAAGAGATAGGCTTGCTGGTTGCTGAACTAGCAAGGACACAGGAAGAGATAACAAAATATAAGGCTAGCACCGACAACCAGATCAGATCTTTGATGATGCAAATTACTCAGAATAATGTTCCTGGTCGTCAGCCTGGCAACTTGCCTAGCACCACATAACCAAATCCCCATGAACATGTGCAAGCTATCACTCTCCGAAGTGGGAGACAAACAACCGAGGCCGAGTAAAAAAACAAAGAAGAGGAATATACGCCAACCACGACACCTGAGAAACATACTGATGCTCTGATTGACAAGAGCATGGAATCAACACGCCCTAACGCAAAGGTCGCTATTGTCAAACCCTCTCTCCCGTTTCCTTCACGGGTTAGAAATGACGACGATAGCAGGAAATATAACAAATTCCTGGACCTACTCAAACAACTCCACGTCAACCTACCGTTGATTGATGCCTTAGCAGTGATGCCCAAATATGCCAAGTTCTTCAAGGACTTGCTGACAAAGAAAAGGCAGTTGCAGGAGCTCTCGGTCGTGGACTTAAACGCAGAATGCTCGACGATGGTTCTAAGGTCAATACCCAAAAAGGTAAAGGATTCAGGTAGCTTCACTATCCCTTGCTCTATTGACAATTTCAATAATGCTTTAGCTGACTTAGGGGCGAGTATCAATCTGATGCCTACCTCTATAGTTGAGAAGCTAGGACTTGGGGAAATGAAACCCACCAGGATGTATCTTCAACTGGCTGACCGCTCAGTCAAATATCTGAGAGGAATTATTGAAGACGTCTTGGTCAAGGTTGACAAATTCATTTTTCCAGTCAACTTTGTAGTAATGGACATGGAAGAGGATAGCGAAACACCTCTTATTTTGGGAAGGCCCTTTCTGGCTACCGCCAGGGCCTTGATTGATGTCACTGACGGCTCATTAACTCCAAGAGTCAGAGATGATTTATGCACCTTCTGACTCTCAAATGTTATGAAACACCTCACAGATTCCTTTCAAGGATGTCACTTTCTTGATACTTTCGAGTCAATTGAAGGGTATCTGTTTGGGGAAGAGAATAGACATGTAAGTGATGAAGCATCTATGTTAAAAGAAGCCAACAATGACATGAGAGATGTATGTGAGAGTTGTGAGGATGCGCTAATTGAGCAAGCTTCTTACGAAGTTGATGGATAGTGTGCCCGGGGGGTAGCTTATCCGAGGGGTTATTACGGGGAATAACTAGAGAGAAGTCAGATCAAATAAGTGGAGAGAGAAAGTATATTAGAAAGTATGCAGCAGCGTGTGTATTATGACTTGTGACTTGGTTACAAATGGGGAAATGGGGTGCTATTTATAGTAGCAATAAATGTCGGACAGGGACATGTGTCAAACGTCCATTGGCCGAGAGGTCACCTCAACTGGTTGGCGCTGGCAACCGCATGTGGCCGCATTTAATGCGGCTGTTGGATGGGACGTTGTATAGGGTACGGTGATCTGTACGCATGTGGCGCGGATATCTTGTCGGGAAAGGTGCCCTCGGCTGTAGAGGACTAACCGAGGGCTCTGAGTACCGGGGACCCCCTTGTTGCCGAGGGCTCCAGGTGCCGAGGGCTACTAATTTTCGCCGTTTTTCCTAGCAACTTTGTTTTGCTGTCTCAGCCCTCCTGTGAGAGTTAGAGCCTTCGGCCAGGGGGCCGAAGGCACCCCTGGTGCGCATTTGTGGGCTGCTTGGTATCTTGGGCGTCGTGATTTGGGCCTGTTGTGCTTTCTGGACCTGGTGGGTCTTTATTGGAGTAGTAGGAGTCTGTGGGCCGGGGGTTCCCGGGCCATATACTCCATCAGGAGTCCCTCACTCCTTTTTCCGAAAGGTACTTTAGGTAAAAGGAGTAGTTGTGTTTGTCCTCTGCCGTTGTTCCGTTGTAGTTTTATAGAGTTGTGGGTAGTTTGCTGTTTGTCTATTCTGCCGAGGGAAGTCCCTCAGTTACCCACATGTCGGGACTTGAGGGGTCCTGTTTGTGATTTTTGTGATTTTCCCGAGGGGGTCCTCCAGTCCCCCACTCCTTGAGGCACTTGCAAAGTGGTGAAAATGAGTAGAGTAGTTGCGTTGCTGTTTTGGGGCCGAAGACTGACGCTTTTCGTTTCATTTTGGGGGGATGCCTCGTTAAAAACCTCATTAGGAAAAACCCTGTGGGAAAAAATCCTAATGAGGGAAAAATAGTGCACCGAATTCCCCCAACGATGAATCGAAAATGTGAGACCTTGGTTCGAAATGGAGAATAATGCTGATGCCGAAGGCTTTCCTTGTTCTGAGGGCTCATGCGTTGATTAGCCGGAGGCTTGTTGTTGATGTCCTGGGAGGTGTTGAAGGGGAGTCCCTCAATCTGGGGATCGAGGGCGTAATGAATGAGGGTAGTAGTTGAATTGTTACCGGGGTGTCCCCTGTTTGTTGATTAGTCGGTGATGAGGATATCTGAGGGCCCCCATTACCTGTGTGCCGTAGGCTATCTGTCAATGAGGCATACTCCCCGGGGGCTACCCGGCCCTCAAAGTGCTGAGGGGGGGATCCCCGAGGGGTGGCCTGATATGAAGCCTTGGGCTTATGAAGGAGTGATCCCGAAGGCATCTGTTACGTAGTGTGTGGGGCACAAACCGGGGGTGTCTCCGGGTTAGTGTACCCGGGGGCTCTTCTTGATGAAGTGGAGTGAAGTAAAAAGCCCGGGGGCTCCCCAGAATATAGCCATTGGAAATATAGCCGTTGGAATATGTAACGCTAGGATATAGCCGTTGGGGGGGGTGCCACGTGGTGCGTGCTCGTTGGCTGCCCGTGGGCGGGCGTCACCGATTGGGTGAAACCACGGTTGGTAATGATGGCAGTCCAACCGGAGGCCCGGTTTCTAGGCCCAAGCCCGGATCCCAGCGCCTATAAATACCCCATGGCCGGCTTCACTTCCCCTTGTGCGAAATCATTGTAGCGAAGCCCTGCCAAAATTTCTAGAGAGAGAAACAACCGCCTTCGATCAATCACTGCCTTAAGGTCAGTTCCCCATCTGTATTCTCCCTCCTTAGCTAGCTGTAGCGGCCTTAGTTCTAGGAGTTGTGCCTTAGAGAACTCTAGTGTTCCCGAGCCCTCGAACTAGTGCATAGATGTCTTCCCAAAGTGATTCCCAGGACATCTCGGCATGGAGGATGAAGTCCTCTCGGACGTGGAGTCCACAAGCGAACAGCCCTCGGTGGGACAAGATGCTGTTGTCGCTATGGAGCTGCAGAGAGCCCTCGTTGCTGAGGCGGAAGCCGAGGGCTTCGAACAAGAGTGTGAAGATGAAGAGTTGGCCCTCGCCTGGCAAGCAGCTGAAGAAGAGGCGCAGAAAGAGGGCGCGAGGGTCACTGTTGTTGTTCTCCCCCCTCGGGGCACTGACGAGGCCAGCACCTCTCGACCGCTGAACGCGGTTCCCATCCGGGTGGCCCCCGGAAAGAAGAAGGCGAAGGTTGCTGCCCCCAAGAAGAAGGGCAGCGTTGCAGACCAGGGGAAGCCCCTCGATATGCCCGAGGGGTATTCCTACCTGAATACCGACGCCTTAGAGATAAGGTCGAAAGCTGACGCGGCGGATTTGTATGTCACTCAACTACACGTGGGCCCCTCGGCCATCGTGGTGGAACCGGGTCCCGATGACGTCCTCTCCCGGGCTCCCGAGGGCTGCATTGTGGTGCACATTCTTTCCGTGTCCATGGGGCTCCGGTTCCCCCTACACCCCTTCCTCCGGGAGTACCTTCGATTCGTGGGTTTGGTCCCCTGCCAACTGACCCCGAACAGCCATTCCTACATCACGGGCTTCCTCCAGCTCTGCAAATCCCGGGGGGTAACACCTAGCCTGGATCTCTTCTTCCAGAGCTTCAACCTGTGCGGGGGGGGGGGGGGGGGGGGGGGGCATGCGAATGCCGAGGGCTTCGCAAACTTGCAGCAAGTGGCCCTGTTCAAGCTTTTCACTGAGGCGCCCTCCTCGAACAAAGGGTGGAAAGACCGGTGGTGCTATGTGAAGCTGACCGAGAGCCCCTTCCCGAGGGAATTGCGTGACCGGTTTAGGAGGCATGAGAAGAGGAGGAGCGTCGCCCTCGAGAAAGACGGCAGGATCCTGGCCAAGATCCCGGAGGGCCGAGACAAAAATATAACCATCAAGGAGTGCACCCAAGAGATGACCTCTACACCCTCGGGTTCCGGTGGTATAGCTTCCTGGGGGAAATGGATGAAAGGTTCCCGGCTTTTGAGAGAGCCTCCGGAGGTAGTGGCTGAGAGCATCCAATCCTTCAGACTTACGTATATTTAGGTGTAGATATGCTTTTCGTTGTATGTTTTCTCCTTCGGCTTTAACCGTTATTATTTTTTCAAGTATCAACATGGACCTCAATGCCTTCGCCAATCTGAAGAAACAGAAGGTCAAGGCCCCGGGCCAGAAGGAGCCCCCTAAGCAGAAGCCCCTCGGGGAGCTGAAGAAAGGCAGTGAGCCCTCGGGGGAGGCCGCTAAGCGGAAAGCCGCCGGCAAGGCGCCAATCCCCGAGGGGAAGAAACAGAAGAAGGGGGATGCCGGGAGGAAGGCTCCCCTAGTGGTGGTGGTGGTGTAACACCTCGGCCCCGCAGGCCCCGAGGTAGTTACTCCAGACCTCTGGTACTGTCCCCACAAACCACCACGAGCCTTTACCGCGCACTTTGACCTCACTCGTGCGCGCCCTGAGAAACTTCCCAGGGGGTCACCCATCCCAAGACTACTCCCGTGCAAGCACGGTTAACTTTGGAGTTCTTGGGTGATGAGCTCCCTTAAAAGGAGATGCACCTATGTTGGTATGAGTAGTACTATTAATCCGTTTAAATTAAATCTCAAGTATTACAATCACCCCCACTTAGGAATGCAACGTCCTCGTTGCGCCCATAAACCAATCTCAATCATATCCCAGAATCTTTTCCCCTGCTAAGTGCTCGCCCGATATCCAACGAATCAGCACACTGTCGCAGGGTTGCTCTGATACCATTTGTAACACCCCGGCCCCGCAGGCCCCGAGGTAGTTACTCCAGACCTCTAGTACTGTCCCCACAAACCACCACGAGCCTTTACCGCGCACTTTGTCCTCACTCGTGCGCGCCCTGAGAAACTTCCCAGGGGGTCACCCATCCCAAGACTACTCTCGTGCAAGCACGCTTAACTTTGGAGTTCTTGGGTGATGAGCTCCCTTAAAAGGAGATGCACCTCTGTTGGTATGAGTAGTACTATTAATCCGTTTAAATTAAATCTCAAGTATTACAGGTGGATGAGCATTCCGCCTCCGAGCCCAGTGCTCCAATGACATCAACTGCTCCTTGCCCGCCCTCGGGTATAGGTGGTGAGGCAAGCTTGCCTCGGGAGGACATACAGTTCTCCCTGCCGAAGGGGGCAGCCATTACGCATGGCACAGTAGACCCCCGTGAATTTTTGGGCGGGGCTACCCCTGCTCTGGATAGGAGGGCCCTCGGGAAGCTCGACGATGAAGGCCTCAAGTCAAAGATCCTCCGGTCCTCCCTCACCGTAAGCTCTCTCCTTCTTTTCTTCTTCTTTCTCTTTTCTTAGCATAGTGGCTTAACCCCTTACTTTGTTGTTTGTTTCAACAGGCCTGCATAGCCCTCGGCGAACACGCCAGGAGGTTCGATGAGTGGCGCCTTCAGAAGGCACAACAGGAGGAGTCCTTCAAGAAGCTGATTCACGACAATGCCGAGGCCATGAGGCAGATGGCTCAGCTGGAGAGGGACCTCCAGCAGGCGAGGGCGGAAGCAGAGAAGGCGGCCAATGAAAAGGCGAAGGTGGAAAAGGCTGTTGTCGAGGCTGCAAAGAAGGCCTCCGAAGACGCTGGGGCCGCCAAAGCAGAGGCCGCCGCCGGTGCAGTCGCTGCCTTCATGACCGAGGACTGGAAGGCCGAAGGCAATAAAGACTGGGTGGCCTCGGTCGTGGAGAGTTCTGCCGACGGGTGGGTGAAGGGCCCCGGGGCGATGTGGCTAGCCCGAAAGGGTGAAGATTACTATGCCGGGGGGGAGTTCTTCACCCAGGCCTTGATCTACAGGAGGCTTGCACGGCACCTGAAAATCGAGCCAATGGCCTTCGACCCGGCGGCATATGGTCTCCCCCCCCCCCTCCAGCCTGATATCAGAGTCCCCCTTCCCGAGGGCGTCGAGAGCCCAGAACTGGAGGATTCCGAACTCCTGAAAGAGGCCGAGGGTGATGAAGCAGAGGCTGATACGGAGGTCATCTCAAAGCCATCGGAAGAGGCTGCCCCCGGAGCCGACAATATATGATCTGTATTTAGTAGTGTTTTGAACGCCTTCTCTGTATGTAATGGATATCTGTGTACTTTAGGCCTCGGCCACATTGTAATTTATACATTTGAATTTCCCCTTTTTGATGAATGAATGCTTGCCTTCGGGCTTTTGGTACATAATACGTTTCCCTTTCATCGTTCCTCTTTAAATGTATGCTTTCGCCTTTCCTGAATGCATGTTTAGGACTTAGAATATATTCTCCCAAGTGTAGTGCTTCTCGTAGCCCTCGGCTACTAGTAATCTTTAGTCAGTTGAACCTTTCACCGAGGGCACAATGTTCAGGACTTAGAAATATTTCTAAGTGTTTGTTCATCTGTTAGCCCCGTCTGATCCTTCCCTCCGGTTCTATGTAGCCTTCATGAGATGACCGGAGGCAAGATGTTTAGGACTTAGAAAATCTCTAAGTGTTTGGACGTTGTGTAGCCTTCGGTACGTGGATATCCCTCGCTGATTGGATGCATGACCGAGGGCCCAAGAATAGTTAGGACTTAGAATATTTTTCTAAGTATACCTTTGCCAAGTCCTCATCCGCATGGCCCTCGAGCTGTAGGGAGATTTGACCGAGGGTAAGAACTCTTGGGACTTAGAAATTTTTCTAAGTATAGCTTCACCAGATCTTCAACCGCATGGCCCCTCGGGCGGCATGGAGATTTGACTGAGGGCCAAAATATGTAGGACTTAGAAAAATTTCCTAAGTGTAGTATGTGGGAAGTAGGAGCCCTCGGGTGACTGTGAGGGCCTTGTCTCAGATATGCCTTCGGTTGACTGGCGGCTCCACAAGGGGCAAAGCATTTAGGACTTAGATTTTTCTTTAAGTATTTCCTGCTGCTGTCCTTCGGGGGGACCCTTCGGTTGTAGGCGTTGTAGGTTTAGGATAGTTTCCTTTGCTTTGCAATGTTGGGCTATGGTAACAAAAGCCTTCGGTTGTTTGTCATATAGTGCCCTTCGGGGACGTTTTGAGTTGTTTGAGCCTTCGGTTTTAGGTATAGCCGGAGGCAATCCTTGAGTGGACTTAGCCATTCGTTGATGATGTCTGTTGTGAATGGTATTCTTTGTACTTGTGAACTTCCAGGTACTGAAGGTGTTCCCGTGGGGAGCCCTCGGTATGTTTTTGTAAATTGTTGGAGTGATGTACTCATTGATTTCTCGCCGAGTCTACTCCCCTTCACCACCCCATTTTTTTTTTTGAGTAGTGAAGGGAAGGCTTCAAGAAACTTGGTTTCTTGGTAAGGCTTGGCCTATCGGGAGGTAACAGAATACACCATTAGCTCCCCCCTCGGGTTAACCTTCCGAGTTCTGAGGGGATCGAGGGTCGTTTCCTGAGCACAAGATATGGTGGTCTGGAGCCTGCCTCCCCTTGGGGGATGGCGCGGAAAGCGCCTCAGTTTTGAAAGTCGTCCCCTCGGCGCTAGACATAGTCTGTGGCCTGCCACACCCTTGGGGTGGTGGCGTGGGGAGCGTTTCGGTTTGGAAGTCGAATCCTGGGCATTTTTCGTGCCCGTCATATCCTTGGGGTGATGACGCGGAAAGCGTTCCGTTTTGAAAGTCGAATCCTGGGCATTTCTCATGCCTGTCATACCCTTGGGGTGATGACGCGGAAAGCGTTTCAGGGAAGGGTTTTCATTTGCACACTGGTTGCAAATGGCCGGGTGCACTACGTGCTGCCGGCACCGAGAGGTGGCGCCTTCGGTATAGGCGTCCTCGAGGGGTACGGCTTAGGAAACAACACTTGGTGTTTGTTCCGATGTACGGCCCCCGACACTTGGTACCGAGGGGTCTTCTGTAGAAACACTTGGTGTTTTTTCTCATTTGTTGAAAGCTGCTAGTGGCGTGTCCCCCCCGGCACCAGGTGCCGAGGTGTTTTCTTGTGGGGACAGGTGGTGCTTTGTCGTAGGTGATAGTATTGTCTACCCTCGGCACTTGGTGCCGGGGGTTCTTCTAATGTGGTGAGGCCTTGGGCCTGAGGGTGATATGAGAGCTTGGCCCCTGTGATAATCTTGTTCCGTGTTCCCGGTGTCTTCAAAATGCCTTCATTCTTCAGAATTCTTAGGATTTGGGCCGTAAAATAATACATTCACTAGTTATGAGGGCTTGGCCGCTCTGATGTTATTGATAAAATTTAACTAAGTGATGTACATTCCAGTGCCTAGGGACTTCAGTCCCATTAGGGCGTTTTAGCTTGTAAGTTCCTGGTTTAATGATGGCTGCCACGATGTAGGGGCCCTCGAACTTTGGTGCCATCTTTCCGCCCTCGGTTGGTTGGCTAGCTTCCCTTCTTCGGAGAACATAGTCCCCCACTTGAAATTCCCATGAGCGAACCTTGGCGTCGATGTAGCTCTTCACCTGCCTTCAGTAGTTCTCTGCGCGTATGAAGGCTTGCTCCCGGCGTTCTGAAATAAGGTGGAGGTCGAGGGTCATATTGGTGTCGTTGGCCTCCGGATCATACTGTGTGACCCTTCGGGTTGGGAGAGTTACCTCAGTGGGGGCTTTGGCTTCAAATCCGTAGCAAAGGGAGAAGGGTGTCTCGCCAGTTGCCCGCCGAGGGGTGGTACAGTAGGCCCATAGGATGTTGTGGAGCTCTTCCACCCAACCACCCCCTTCGGCCTCCGGCTTCTTCTTTAGGCCCTCAAGTAGGGTCCTGTTGGCGTTCTCCACCTGACCGTTGCCCTGAGGGTAGGCAACGGATGAGAAGGTGTGTTTGATGCCCTATGCCTCTAGGAGGGCACAGAAGGGGGCTGCCTCAAACGGAGTCCCATTGTCGGAGATGATCTGCTGAGGGACGCCAAACCTGGTGAGTATGTTTTTGAGAACAAAATGACGGCACCTAGCCTCAGTGATGCTGGCGAGGGGCTCAGCTTCCACCCATTTGGTGAAGTAATCGATGGCGATGATGATGTATCTATTGTTGGAGGTACCCCTCGGCAGAGGGCCCACAAGGTCTATGCCCCATCGAGCGAAGGGTATGGATGTGCTGATGGGGGCATAGTTCACCGCTAGCGTGCCGGGGGCTTTCTGGAAGTGTTGGCATGCGGGACACCTCCGAGCAAGATCTGCACAATCCCGGGCCATCGTAGGCCAGAAGTAGCCCTGGATCACAAGCCTTCAGGACATGGAGAAGGGTCCCTGGTGAGATGAGCAAGTGCCACTGTGTACTTCCTCCATTGCTACTTCGGCTTCATGTTGATGAAGGCACCGAAGCAACGTCCCGTTGTAGGACCTTCTGTAAAGCCTCCCGTCCTCGATAGTGTAGCTGGGAGCCCTCATCTTTTCCAGCTTGGCGCGGGCCTCATCCTCGGGCAGTTGCCCTGTGGTGATGAAGGCAACAATATCCGAGATCCAGTCCTCCTGTCTTTGTTGTATATCTATGACGGGGCTAGCATGTATGCTAGAGAGGCTGAGTTCTTCTACTTTGGCGATCTTGGAGATATGCTCAGGGGATTCTACCGAGAGCTTTGATAAAATGTCGGCCTCGGAGTTTTGAGCCCTCGGTATTTGAGTAAGAGAGTGTGCCTCAAATACCTTAAGCAACTCCTTGGCAGCCTCCTTGTATTGCTTCATTCTCCCTTCCTTGGCTTCGTACTCCCCGGAGATTTGGCCGACGACTAACTTGGAGTCGCACTTGACGTGGATTTGTCGGGCCTTCATGTTAGCTGCCAGCCGAAGGCCACAGAGGAGAGCCTCGTATTCGGCTTCATTGTGGGAGACTTTGAAAGAGAAACGGACTGCATAATAGGTCCGGAAGCCCTCAGGTGAGATGAGAACCACCCCTCCTCCGCACCTTGATGGCGGAGGAGCCATCAGTGTAGAGGGTCCACCAGTCATCTGAAGGGGCCGAGGGCTCCTCGTCCGTGGTTGCCCTTGTCGTGCACTCCGTCACGAAGTCCGCTAGGGCTTGGCCCTTGATGGCGGGCCTAGGACGGATGTCGATATCGTATTGGCTCAAGAAGACAGCCCATTTTACCATTCGGGAGGAGCTAGTGGGGCTCCTCATCAAGGCCCCGAGGGTTGGTGAGTGAGGACCTGGACTGGGTGAGCCTGGAAGTAATGGCCCAACTTCTTGACGGTCCACACGATAGCCAACACCGTTTTTTCCACGGGGGAGTACCGGAGCTCCGCTTCCCTGAGGGTCTTGCTAACATAGAAGATGGCATGTTGGATGCCATCCTCTTCCCGGATGAGTACAGAGCTGATGGCAGCCGGGCTAACACCCAAGTAGAGGTACAGGATTTCCCCTACCTTGGGTTTAGAGAGCACAGGGGGTGAAGATAAGTATCGTTTCAGCTCCTCGAATGCCCCCTGACATTCTGAAGTCCACTGGAAACCGGCGGTTTTCCTCATGATCTGGAAGAAGGGTAAGGACTTCTCCGCCGATTTTGATAAGAAGCGGTTGAGGGCTGCTAGGCGGCCCGTCAACCGTTGGACCTCCTTCACGTTGCGTGGGGGCTCCATGTTGATGATGGCCTGGATTTTCTCGGGGTTGGCCTCAATACTCCTTCGGCTAACCATGTAGCCCAGGAATTTCCCCCCTGGACGCCGAAGGTACACTTCTTCGGGTTCAGCCGAAGGCTAAACTTCTGCATGATGGCGAAGATCTCCCTCAGGTCGTCAGCATGGTTTGCTGACTGCTTGCTTTTGACGATCATATCGTCAACATATGCCTCCATGGTGCGCCCTAGGACAGCTTGAAATACCCTGGCCACCATCCGAGTGTAGGTGGCGCCTGAGTTCTTTAGGCCGAAGGCCATGACAAGGTAGCAGAAGATGCCCTCGGGAGTCATGAAGGCTGTTTTTTCAGCGTCTTCCTCATGCATGTATATTTGGTGATATCCGCGGAATGCGTCGAGGAATGACATGATTTCACACCCCGCGGTTTCATCCACAAGTTGATCAATATTTGGTAAAGGAAAGGGGTCCATGGGACACGCCTTGTTGAGATCCGTGTAGTCCACGCACATGCGGAATGAGGGCGGTTTCTGTGCGAGGACTACGTTCGCCAGCCATGAGGGGTACTTTACCTCCTTGATGTGCCTGATAGAGAGGAGCATGGCGACCTCCTTCTTCACAAAT